AAATTATTGAATGGTGGAGGTGTCTAATGGAGTTTTGAGTTCATCCAAAACATTTTCATCATGTTCCTTCAATTTAGCAGTGAGTTCTTTCAACAATTTCTCTTGTTTTTTAAATTTTTTCAGTAATTTATCATAATCATCTGATGTACTTTTTTCATTTACATTGTTATTAATCGTGATATTAACACTCTTGTTGCTATCATCAATTTTGTCATTTTTATCGTTATTGTTATTGATTTTAATACTTTTTGCTTGTGACATTCTCGTAGTATATAACTCTAAAGTATTTTGAAATCTTTGATTTGATTCTATTCTTTTTGCATCTTCTGTTTTGTAATAATTGTTAATCGTTTTAATTTGTTTATTGATTATGGAATTGTTTTTTCCTTTGATCGATCTTAAGAATATATTATAATTATTTTTTATTTTATTATAATTCATTAAAAGTTTTTCGTTTAATTCTTTCTATTTTTTAAAGAATGGTTTAACTTTTTTCACCGTAATTTCATTATTTTGATCTGCAATATACGTTCTCCAAGTTTTACATAATTCTAATTGTTTATCGAGATAAGTTTCGCGAAATTCACAATTTTTTTTTAAATTTAGGAATGCTATTTTAATTGAAAAAAATAGATATTTGGTTCTATTTATATGTTTATTTAATATATATTGAATGTTATCATTTAAACAACAAAAAAACTAAAATTGGTAATCATAACCAGGTTCAAAACAATTTTGGCTAATTCTACAACATTTTCTTGTATAAATTCTTTTTTTTCCGGTTCTAATTCGCTAAAGTTAGCAAAGGCACTAGCATTCATTTTGAGATATTGACGCTCATTTTTTTCATTTTTTTCAGTAAAGTATAGAAAAATAATATTTGCATAATTATCATCAATGTGTAATTTGATGATAGGAACTCCATTAAAACATTTATCGATATTAATATTTTCAATTAATCCTTCGTAAGATTTGATCCAATGTCCGGTAATAAACGAATGATCTTCATCATTTTTATGATAGATAGTCTTTGAGATTTCATATTTGTGTTTATTAGAGTTCGACTCTATTAATTCTTTGATTTTCTGTACTTTTTCGGTATTATGATCAAATTGAATTTTAACTATATTAAAAACCATTTTTTTTTGTATTTTTTTTTTTAAAATAGGATGTTTTTTCTATTTATATATGATTTTTTGGATTTTCTAAACTCGTTCTCCATCTTTCAGCTGCTATTCCAAGTTTTTTTTTACCATCGACACCTTCTTCTTTCAATCTTTGCATTTCATTTTTAATAAATAAATTATATTTGAATTTTTTTTTAAAAACATTTTTTTCAACATACTCCATGTCAGATTCTGATGAAGTATCTTCAGAATCTGTTTCATCATCACTATCAAACATGTAACTTGAAGCTTTATCGATATTGTCAAAATATTTTGTGAAGAAATAAGGATCTTCTTTATGAATTTTATTCATCATTTCTTTTTTGGTTTTGGCTCTTTTAATGATTTTTGTAATTTTTTCTTTGGTGTTCATTTTCATTTTTTAATAATATTTATTAAAATAAATAATTACAACTCTTTGCGTTTTGCTATTTTTATAAGTTTTTTGTATCGTGATTGCATCTCTTTAATAATTGTTTTAACATGTAACGAATAGTTATTAAATAAGGTCATATTCATTCTATATGCTAGAATCTATTCCTTTACCGAATATTTATCAATAATTTGATTACATTCATTCACTAACATCTTCATGTTATAATAATTAAAAGATCTGTTATTTTCAAATTTGTTGTTAATAACATCATTTTCGATTGAAATTTTTTCTAGACAATCTAAAATTTCATGTCCATACACTACTCTAACAACCACACCAATATAAAAAATAAATAAAAATAGTTTCATTTTCGTGGACTTTTAACGTTTGCACCTTTTGGTTTGTAAACAGGATTGTATCTAGGTATGCTACTTGAACAGTGAAATTTTTGTATATAAATTCCGCCAGGATAACTTTTACACGTCTTTCCGTTTTTATTCAAAATTCGTTCGTAGCGTCCTTTTTTAAAATTCCAGGTATATAATTAATCTAATGTTCGTTCTTCGATAATAACTTGTGGTTGAATGATTTGTCGTGTGCAATTGATGCCCAAAACAAAAAGAAATAACAAAAACAAAAAATTCATTTTTTAAACTTTTTTTTTCAGTTTTCTTTATTTATATAGATTTTAATGATGATAAAAAATATATTGATGTTGAAGTGGTGATGGGTTTTTTTGTTCGACTATAAACCAATCTAATATCAACACAATTAAAAATATTATTAACAGATAAATTTTTGGCACATGTTTTATTATCCTATTATTTGTTTCGCGTATAGTGTTAAGTTGAATCATTATATTTTGACAAAATATTAGATTATCATCCTCTTGCGCTCTCGGTTTTTGATTTCTTCTTAACAATTCATCTTTATTATTCTGTAATGCAATTATGCGCTGTTGCAAGTATGTGTTATCTCTAAATAATTGTTTATTACGTTCAACAAGCATCTCTCCCCCAGTCATCTGCGGCTCTTCTATTTTTTGATTTGGTTTTTAACAAATAATCTTTATTCATTGCATCACATTATATATAATATTTTTTATTGAAATAAATTTAATATTTCTAATCAAACAAGTAAATTCATCTAATGAATAAACTAATTATATCAGATTCAAAAATAATATTATTTTTAAAATAAATCTTTACAATTTTTACATCATCGTCTAAGAAAAAATATTCATCTTCGATTAGTTTAATAAAATTATTATTATTAATCATTGTAAAAGAAAATGAAAAATCATCTAATTTTTCATCGATAATTTTAATAATATCGCCACTACAAAAAATTTTTAAATAGTATCCCCCATTTTTAAGTTTATAAAATTTAAAAATATAGTAACGTCTGTCAACAAAATAATGAAAACAAAAAAGCTCATTATAAACGACAATATTATTACATTCTCTTGTCTGTATAGTATTTTGAGTTTGATTTTCTTGTTGTGAAGTTGGTTGTTGAGTTATAAATCTTGAACTAAAATGATTTTGCTGAATTGTTTTTGAGTATGGTTTTATGTTAGCTTTTATTTCATTATAAATAGTTTTATGCATTCTTCTATAATGTTCGATAATGGCAGTGTGTTTTTTGTTAGAATCACGAAACTTATATGTGCAGTTTTTTTGTAAACAAGTTATTGTATTATTATTTTCAAATTTAAAAAAATTATTTGACATTTTAGCATGGATTTTGCGTGGATTTTTGCGTCTATTTATATTTTTTATGTGTAAATTTTTTTATGTAGATTTTGTTTTAAATTTATACTAACACCGCGTCGTACAACTGAAGGTTGTACATAGCGGCTTAAAAATAAACAAGTATCGATGCGCAGTATCGAGATGCGTTTATTTTTATTTTATACTATTACCTTAAAACAGAGAACTAAGAACTAATTTATTATAAAAATAAATATTTAAATTAATTTGATTTAGATTTAAATTTTTATTTTATTTTATATTATATCTTTTTCATACATCATATAGGTTTATAGCTTAATAATTATAAAAGTTTTACTATATATTTATTTTATTTTAAAATTATATTTAAAAATTTTATAAGTTTATTCCTGTGCATTATTGCATGGGTTTACAACTAGTTTGTAAATAAAAATATAACTTATTTAGTTATTATAGACACCTATATATGACCTGCAAAAGTAAAAATTGTTTTAATACTTGATTGTTTCTTATAGTCAACTCCCAGAAATATCATTAATATAGTTCTACTAGTCTGTCATATTCACCTCTTTTCTTTAAATTTTTTTTATCTATATCTTGGCAAAAAAATTATCAGATAATCTATTTACAATGAAAAAAGAAAAGAAACATAATAATAGAAAGTGTAAAAAGAGAAATAAAAAAAAGATATAAAAAAAAATGGATAATTACACTAACAAAGATAAAACATAAAAGAAGAAGATAGAAAAAATAAAAAAAAAGAAGTCATAATTATGATATACATATAATAAAGAAAGAATACACTATTATAATTTGTGCAAGACTAAAAAATTATATATTAACTACAACATTTAATATATCTCTATTGTAAAGCTATGCTTTAATGTTTAGTTTATTTTTCTGACTATTAGACTAGTTCTAGATAACTTGCTTGTATGGAGACTCATTCTGATATATGGGTATCTATACTATTATGTAGCATAGCAACATGTTTACTAAAAATACATGGTTGTAATCTACTGTGTTATCGTCTGAAAAAGAAAGAAGTAAATACTATTGATTTTCTAATAGGAGTAAGCTGTTTTGTCTACTTTTTTCAAAAGTTTTGATGAAAGCACAAGTGGTAATAGTAAAGAGAATAGATCTTGTTCCTTTCTTGAAAGAGAGTATAGTTTTTTGTAAAAATAACAAAAGACAAAAGGATATGCATACTGCTTAGAAATGTGCGAATACAAGTTTTTTTGGCATTGCATCGCATAATGCAACATTATGTCGCATGATGCATTATACAATTCTGTATAATATGCTGTGGACCTCCTAAGACCTATATATAGTGAACAGACTTTTTATATTACTGAGAGGTAATCAGATTCAAAAATATAAAATATTAAATTATATAGTGGAAACGACTTGATAGATTAATTTTTTATTGATTTTACAGGCTATGAATTTGATAGGAACAAGTGATTGTTGATTAAATAGCATAGATCAAAATTACATAATAACTTCTATGTGCATTTTTAAATTTTAGACAACTTGCATCGCATTATGCAGCATTATGCAACATGCAATATCACTTGTATAATGCATACAGCACATCTCTAATACTGCTGGCTTTTTAAACAGTAGGTGATAAACCCTAAACTTGTTAGCAGGTAGTATATAAGAACTACCTCTAAATAACAAATGCTGACTCCACATTAAGTGATAAACTCATAACAAAAGTTGTCCAGTTCACCAAAATACATATAATACTCAAATTTCAAGTCTCTAGCTCTTATATTCGTAAAGAAAACTCTAGCAGATAGCATATAAGAACTACCTTTAAATAACAGATACCAGCTACTCAGTTTTATGTTTTTTTGCTATTTAACTATAGTTTATTATCATTTTATCTAAAAAGTTTAGTTATAAATTTTAGTACAAGAAATTATCAGAAAGAGTTAATTTTAGAAATTTAAATTAGTCTATTACCAAATTTTATTTATATACTGTATAAAATACAGTATAACCTCGATATAACGAACCTCAATATACCAAATTTGGTATTAGGGGCGTGACAAATATTATGTAATATTCATAGGGAGGAGGGGGTATTGCCAATGTCTTATGTTAGTAATAGAAATTTACAACTAGCCAATCAAATATCGTCACACCATCAGTACAAACTCGGATTTACAACTTCAAATGCTGTTATGCAATTAGCACAAAATCGGATTTACAACTACCCAATCAAATGTCATTCGCCATTAGAACAGAATGAAAGAAAAAAAAAATCTTAACTAGATCTCGTGAGTACAAAATTTGATCTTTGATATAAGAAATAAGCAGCAGAAATAATGATTTCTATTTCTAATAATTATAGTAAAAAGACGAAACATAATTCCGATGACTATAGCAATAGTAAACTAGCAAGATATTGGTCAAGAGTAATTACGAAAAAGCTAAGCTTTGATTTTATATATATCTCTTTATTTAAGCACTTATTATATCGAAGGAGTAATATTTCACTAAACTGATATATATTTATTTAATTCTAGCAATATACAGTTCACTCTCGCTATAGCGGATTGACTAGGCTGAATATCTAATATAGCATTATTAGAGAATTATTCTATTCTGTTTTAGTGGGTCTGCTACAACGAAGATGAACTGTATATGAAAATTAATAAACATTTTACGCTGAATTTTATTCTGTATCTGAAATATATTCTCTGAGTGGAACCTCAATGTAGATAAGCATTTGAGTACTCTTTTGTGATGGCAACATCATAAAATTGTCAAATACTGCAGAATTTGTTGCTTGAGTTTTTGAAACTTCTTTTCGGGGCCTTCTACGAGCAGAAGGATGCTGCAGACCTTTGTGCTTTGTCAAATAGGTAAGAGTGGGATAATATTTACCGCAAACTGAGCAGCAGAGTCGAGAATATGTTTCTTTATTGAGAGAAGGACAGTAAAAATCATATCCTGGTATTTTAAATTGGTCAAAGTACTGAAGGAAGTGAATGGAATTTATGTAGTGGCCATCTCGTACCTTAATAACGGGAGGAAGAAAGCCATTACTGGCCATAAGAAAATCCATAGCTTCTTTGGCTCTTATAGAGTTACAACATTCAAAATTATCATATTGTTTTATATCAAGTGCATATTGACACAGGTTGCAATGTCTTTCTATCCAGGACCAGGGCACTATAACATTTTCAACTTCTTTTCCTTTTTTTTCTTGTTCTTTACCAATAAATTCAAGTCCAACAAATGGATAGGTGGTTTTATCGATATAGGTTGCTTCAACCTTTTTCCCAAAAATAGAATCGCAACACCATATTTCACATAAAGCTTCACCCGCATAACGAAAATTTTGTGCTGCTAATTCTGAATCAACAACTTTTCCTTGGCTGTCTAAATAGCTACCAAAATAATCAATTGGAAGTGTTATTCCAGCAAGCTTTCCTGAAAGCGTGGCCATGGCTCTCTCAACTGGATTATATTTTGATTGTCCAGGGGCATGCGTGCGCACAGTAAGGAAGTCTAAGTTAAATTTTTTAAATAACCTGCAGTATGAAAATATGTTTTTTAAATGTTTAGGATTCTCATCGGATCCACTATCAACTAACAGTACCCAAATTGGTTTTGCACTACCATCTATTGTTAAAGCTTCAGTATACTGCACATTTGATACGAGAAAAGAAAGATCTTCCATATGTGTCGCAGATGATGTGCCTAATGACCATTAAGGATGAACAAATATTGCTAATTGTCCAGAGTGAAGATCGTCATTTGATTTATCTGGCTGAATAATAAGATAAACTGATGGTACTAACTTTTGATTATTTTCACAGGGAAAATCATGATCTAATACTCGAACTGGCTCAGCAATTGATTGCAAAGTTTTATCCACAGCAGGTACACCAAGACCAATTTTAGATTTATCATCCTGAGATATTATAATTGACATATTTGCAAAAGTTTTAGCAAATTGCTTTGCTCTTTTGACAGAAGCCAGGCAATAGTGCTCGTCCTGATATTCTTTCGTTTCATCACGTGAAACCCCAGCAACAGCAACCCAAGCAGGGTGATGATGTGCTTTTGCAGTAATTGAATTTGATCGCTGAGGCAAAAGATAATTATTTAGAGAAGACCTGCACATATATATATTGTAATTTTCCTCAAGATTCTGGTGAAGATGATTTACAATTCTAACTTTTATTGCTTTTTTTCGCCTACGTATATCGGCTGCTTCATATTCAACTGAATCATGAATATTATAAAGCAAATCAGGATGTTGTATTAACAACGAAGGTCTACCTGGTTGGTCATATCTGACTACTTCGTTTTGTTCTTCTAATGTTTTGTGTTTTTTGTCTCTGCATTTAGACTGATACATTGCATTTCTTTTTAATTTATTAATTTTTTGTGTTTGAGCTTTAATCTCATCCCGAAGTTTGTTCATTTTTACTAACAATTCTCTATGAAGTTGAATATTAGGTGAAATATTATACAAAAATTCAAGTTCAATTAGCTCTTTTTCTGCTAATTGTTTACATTCAATCGCTTTTTTTTGTGCTATAATATTAGAGTGAATTTCTCTATATTATTTTCAGATAATTGAGTAGTAGAAATTGTATTGGAAATTGCAATTGTAGGTGAAGAATTACTATCTGTAGAAGTTTGTAATTAAGGCGTCATAGGACAAAAAACATCTTGAAGATTTAGAGGCATGTTTAGATATTGGATAATTACTTTGTCAATATCAACTTCATTTTGTTTTCTAACATTTTGCCACTTTTCTGCTGCCATTTTACAGACTTTTGACCGATCAGGATTTGGTTTTTTATTTTCACCATATAGTGATATATATAAGCATTGGTAAAATTTTCATATTTAGTTTTTGGATTTTTATAAATAAGTTTTTTATTAAATTTTGGGCTTAAAAGAAATGTTTGACTCATAATGATCAAACAATACAATTAGATTATTCGTATTGTCAATATTTAAAAAGTAATATTGCAATTTGGATTTTTATTTAATTTTCCTAATGATCTTTTTTTATATTTTACAAAGGTTCTGATGAAATTTGGAAATGAATGACTTTTTTCTAAAAAAAAAAAAAAAAAAAAACATTCTCATTCTTGTTCTTTTTACGTCCTAACTAATCATCTGTATTATTCAACTCTATCTACAGGTTTTTTCGTATGACTTTTCTTATTATTATTATTCTATTTTAATTATTAACAAGAAACATAATTCATTAACATATGAGAGCTCTTTATTCAAGCATATGATTTTGTGAATTTAATTTTTGTTTTTTAATCCTCTATCCTTATAAAATCGAAGCTACTTTTGAAATTTGGAATATGTATTCACATGCATTAACTTACTTTTAGATTGATTACTCATTATTTATCCTCGACTATGATTTTAATTAATTTACTTTTTTAGATTAGCACCTCCGGACTATGTTGGTGATCATGGAAATTTCTTCAAATGCATTATTGGGACATTCTAAATCTCATTCTTTACAATGATTATTAACCAATATTTGCATTAAAGCATAGTTTGATTCAAATTACGATCAGATCTTGAAGTCTTTGACTCATTTGTAAATGAGGTTATGAATGATATATTACTGCGAGTCACTGGGCTATCCAGATGTTATCGCTATGGAAATTATAATTAATAATCTAAAATACAGAAATAGGCATATGAATATGCTATGTAAATTTAAGATATTACATGAAGATCGATCAGTAAGTATCTAATTATTTTGGGTCTTTCATTGGTCTGCATTAACCCCTTCCACACCCAGAAGAACAAAAAACCAAAATTATATATTGGTTCAAATATGCAGATAATGTAATAGATTATTGGTGTAACCAAAATTCATCAAAGTTGCCAAAGTTTAGTGTCAGAATAGTTCAAAATTTATAAATTTTGCCTAAAATTACTCAAAATTTTCACTAATAAAGTACTAGTCCATGTACTAATTAAAAGTTATCCAAATGATATTTTTGTAATAATATAGTTTGCTAATATTAGCCTAGCTCAACTCTTAAGTTTTGATCGTTTGCTGAATTTTGGTTGCGCCATTAATCTATCCTGGTAATGAGAATAGAAATAGCAT